TTTACTTCGATGATACAATGGAAATGAAAAAGAAGACGGCAGAAAGTCAAGCACATACAAAGGCGGAAAAACAGAACTTCCGGATCTGTATTTTGTTGCTGAAAGCCCAGAATAAAGTAAAACTACAACAAAAATTACTTACTTGTCATACGAACATGAGGCGAGCACACTATCGAATTTTGGATGCGCCCAGGCCACTTGCCATACTGGACCCGTATGACCGTTCAGCTCTGCCGAAGGGTAGGTTTGTCCGGACGGTTTCAACTGGAATTATTAACAAACAAATAGTACATCATCCACTAACACCAGCAGTGAAAATTCCTCCGATGAGTGCTTTTTTGGAAATGAACGGCTGCAAGCCAGAAATAATGCGGGACGGTCGGAGATTTCTAGTCACACTTTAAACACGTTAACACGTAAAATCAACTAGAAGGACTCAATGAAACGCTTAAAAAAGTATAAAAATTCAAAAAATACGAACATGAAAAGTGTCAAAGTCGAAAACCCCTCTATATTCTTCGTCCAGGAAAGGGAAAACACTCGGCGATAATCCTTTGGCAGTAAGTGCCGTGCGAAAACAACCCGCTGGCACAGCTATCGATAGCTGTCGCTCATTCAAAAGCTGCTTACAAGCAAGATGATGACAAACACGGAATTGATAAAAATTGACCAAAACTGTTCAGTGATAAAAATCGATAGATCTTTTCTAGCTGTGGATTTTCCTCCCAAGTCTGAGATAAGTTTGTTCAAAGCTACGTACAAAAAATTAAGCCTAGCAGAAGCTAAGAATTCGATTAGGTGTGGTTCTTTTTTTGTTCGTTTTCATAGAAATTTTTTCAAAGTAACCGAAAAAAAGTTGAGGTAATAGCCCATTTTAGTACATACCTCAAATATTTTGATCAAATTATCACTGGAGCAAGTCGCAAGTCGGGTACCATAATAGTTCATTTGTGCATCGTGCTGGAAAAAGAAAGGTAAAAATTTCGAATTTTACGTAGAAATATCTCCCCACCGCCTCCCCTCCTCCCTTGCTCACCCGGTTTCATGAGCCCTTCTAAAATGCGGTACTTCGTCCTATCCAAAGTTGCTGTTCAAGTACAGGAAATGTTCCCCAACTCCTTGAGTTGCTTTTTTCCTCTCCCCCCACCTCTCTCGTGTGAAATCAAAGTGCTGCCAAACAAAAAAAAAAGTTGAAAGTTTTTAAAGTAGGGAAGAAAATCGAAGAAAAAATTCCATAAGAATTAAGAAATTTGTAACAAAAATTACTCGAAAAAAATATATTTTAATAAAAAAAATATTATAAATAACAAAAACATTATAAATAATACTATAAGTAAAAATATTATAAATAAGTCTGATCAACAGACTGCTGATTTAAGATTCTTTTTTTTTTGGTACCAGTCGTCTGTAGACGTCTTTTTTTGTCCGTCAACATGTCAGCTTTAGCCTTTTCCATAAAAAAGTATTCTGCAAGAAGCTTTTACAACCAAGCAAGGGGGGAGAGAATGTTCGAGGAACTCATCACAGACATGGTGGTACTGAAGGAAGAAAACGGAACGAACAATTGTCAAACGATGAGCGGTATCCAGCTTCGATACAATCGTCACCTGAAAATGGATATCTCAGGAAATAGCACACTTATCATATAGCTGGTTCTGAGGATAAAAGGTGGTCGAAACTCAATTTTTTGTCAATTTTTTCAAAATTTCTG